GTCTATTCTTGTTTATACCTGCTATTCACTGCTCCTTCAGCGCAGTTCTCATTCACTGGGTAACTAACGGGGTTCGAACTTCGCATCTTTTGACCTGGGGATTGCTTAATGGGTAACTGAAAATGCCAGCTGTCGTCCATCTCAACCACTTAGTCCGGAGTATTTATTGCCTATCGGGCAACCGCCGACGAGGAATCTAGTCGGGAATTCTGAAGCAAACGGGGACGCTCGTATTCTGGCCTACAACCACACCAATTTTACTTAGTGCCACTCTAATCAGAGGGAGTTTATTCAGTCAGGAGGTGAGCCAAACTTCTACTTGCATTGCTTTCTCCCTGAGAGAAATAATTGACTCCAGGAGGTGGATTGCTTACGTGGCTGCCCTCACGCATGAAAGTGTAGTCTCAAATGTACTTCATTTTCTTCTGCTAACTGCCTGTTTGTGACGACTTCTGGTGTGTCTCCCTGGCCCTAGGGTCTGCAGTGCTTTGTTCCGTTTTTCATTCTCCATATGTCCCTTCTGAAGGCCATTTCCTACCGTGACCTCTGCCTTTTACCTCTACCAGTGCTACAACCGAGTACAACGAAAACAAGCTCATTCTCCTTGAGGCCGAGGAATCACTGGGTGTGCTCGAAGCGCGTCTTCGCGACGCACGCTACCAGTTTGAGCGGCTTCGTCGAACCAACGTCCTCAATGCTGCCTTCCCCATCTGGTATGATGGCCACATTGGTATGATTAATGGACTGCACCTAGGGCGCCTTCCAAACAAACCGGTTAGTCCTGCAGCTAATCTTTATTTACAGTTAACGTGTTTGCCTGCTAAGTTCCAAAAGAAGCTCATAGACAATACTTGAAGGTAGGCCAGGTCTTTGTAGGAGAATTTACTAGTTTTGATAAAGGTCTATATGCCCACTTAACCTCGTTAATCTGTGCGGTTATGTGGCCTACAGAGATCGATTTCTGTTGAAGTCGTCAACGTAGGATTGAGAGTGGGCCTCACTGGGGCCTTTTGCAAGATGTCGTGCCTTAAAACTGTACATCAATTCAGTTTTCTCGGCTTTATTTTATTTTTGGAAGACTGTCTTATTTCTCCAATTGGCCGTTCTCTCTTCAATTAAGGGGTGGCTTGCGTTGTGTCGCACCTGCGAATCTGTGGTATGCCCTTTATTCATGGAAAGGATACAGGAACGATGACTTGCGTTTGAATGAGCTCATGTTGATAGCAGGCATAGGTAGGATCTACCGCACTCTCTCCTGCCTCATCCAGATGTGCTCGACATCAAAACGTAATCCAGAAAACCGTAGGTGGGATCCGGTGCAGGTGGCTCGCGCAGCATGCACCTGCACCGAGGCGTGCTCCCCCTCCCCCATATATGGCATTTTGTATGAATACACATCCCCAATAACGTCTGCCATATCTTGATCTGGCATGCGTGTTGGTCTAGCGCGTCTGCCACGTGGCAACATATCCACACAGTCATTTCTGATAGAACTGATTCGACTACGTTTATCACCATGTAAAATGACTGCTGTCTCATCGTTACAGTCGAGAATTTCTTTCAACCCTTTTCCAGATCGAGTGGTCCGAAATTAACGCCGCCTGGGGTCAATGCGCTCTGCTGCTGCAATGCCTGGCAAGGAAGCTGTCCCACACATTTGCCGTGTAAGTTTTTATTCGAATAATGCCAGTTTTAAATCCAGGCTGGGTCATAGTAAGGGGTCAAGGGTTTTAGGCGTTGAAAACGTGTAGTAGAGTCCGAATTCAAGATAATTTAACTGAGATCGTAATTCGGCACAAAGTGTTTAGTTTACTGAGCAAATTGCGCTGTCAGCCAGCCACACTCAACTCCAGGTGTTGCCACTCCTGGTGCGTCAGATAATGAGAAAAAACATGCTCTTAGGTCAAGAAACATCTGCAGTTGTTTATCGAATCTGGTGTAGTTGCAGACAAAGCAATTACGTCGGAGAAAGTGGAAGTCTTCTCTGGTCGCGAATTGCCGAACACACGCCGATACTCCTTCGATGAGACCCAGTCACTCATTCAATTTCGGTGAGACCAAAATCCTCGCGAGAGCTGACGATCGCGTGAGGCGCGAGTTCCCCGAGTCCCGATGAATGCTCCCTCCCCCCCGCGCAGTCTATTATCGAGTGGAATGACCTCACCCCATATCCGGCGCCGAGATTCAGTTTGGTCAAAGCAATTACACACTCGGGAGCACATTTCAACGCAAATGCCGGTGAGCCAGGTGGCTGAGCAATCATCACGTCAACATCCAATACGGGTGATGAAATTGCAGCAGGTAACGACCAACATGCCGGCCGTCAAGCCATTATCGCACTAAAGAGCAACCATCCTCAATGAAGACGGGGGAGCTGTTACCTGCCATGGGTATGCAGTAGCATTCTCGACAAAGACAAGAATATAATTAAATACCAGACTCTATATTTCATCCTGTTTATGATCCTACTGCTTTGTAATCTCAGCAGTACTTGAAACAGGGTGGGCATCATTTTGGTAAGATAAATAAATAAACAAATAATACCTCGATATTCCAGTACACCTTGTAAATGAAATGTATTTAAATACTCATTAACCTTACCGTCATTCAAAACATTCATGCATTTTTGTGATGCCTTGTACCTATGGTCATTGTCGGCTATTTTGTATACGGGCCGCTTTGACCTCAGTATACCTCATCGCCCTTCACGACGCTGGACGTTTTCAACGGAAACATCCCCTCATTTCGCTATTCTGTAACGCCTGTAGGTACTCCATACTTCCGCTGGGAAATCAGTCGCAAATTATTCAATTAGCCACTGACAGGGCCTTCCCTCTTTACAACTCTCCCGGAAGTATTCGCCTTTTCAATGCCGGAAAGTACGTACCTTTTATTAAACTGGCTATTTGAGCGTATCTTCACATTTCACAAACCAAACAGTCAAGCTGCATCGTGTATTGTTACTACATGGCGATTTGTCTTTTTAATAAACCGTGGGAAGTCATTGTAGCGGTCTCTCTGAGTTAAATACGTAGGCTACTGTCTATGAAAGGTCTTTCCTGTTCACTCCTAACTAGCAAATCGTACCTGGCGTTACTTTTTCTTCCAGGTGTTATCTATTCTGGTATTGGTTGATTGTTCCCCTATTCCAACCGACTAAGTGCGACGTTGGGTCCAAATTCCCGAGTTTTTTTATCAGAAGCTTTGGTAAATGACTGACCCGTTAGGTCGAACGACTTGGTGAAGCGTTCATTCTAATAGGGTAACTTCTCAATCAGTCCTTGGGTTCGGTAAACCTGCAATCAAAAGGTTTTGCCGAAAAGACAGGACATTATCAGAGTTCGAAAGCTCAGACGAATAAATCCATGATTCCGGTGATTAGCGTGCTTTCTTCTTCTTCTTTACCTATACCCACACCTGGTATGCGAACATTCTCCTCAATTCATGAGAAATATCGATTTTGCCACCAAGGCCCAGAGAGCCGTTGACAATCTGGTCCCACTACAATCACTCCATGAATTCGGTGAAAATTGTAAAGAATCCAGTTCCGTGGTGACAGTTGGGAACTCTTTCCTTTAAGTGTCCTTGCTGTGGAAACTCGACCGTCAATTTCCACTATGTTCATTGCGTGCTTCCCGGCAGGCTAGAAGCAAGCGCGGTGGCTTGCGCGTGCATTCGATTATAGTAGACTTGCGCTGTATCTACCGCACCCCTACCTGGGCCCGGTGTCATGACAGAGTCATGAAGACGAGAGGGGAGGGAGGACACAGAACATAGAAAGCAGCCAAATTTTGCAAGTTGCAGCTTTATGTGGTTGACGTTGGGAGAATTGTTCCTGATTGAACAAGCGTTTTTCCTGCCTGTTGGTGCTTTTGAAAGTCATTTCCATATCTGCTAAGTTTTAATGTACAAAACTGTCCGGTTCCTCTAAATAGCTTATTTCTATATC